GCTTCACGTTGATGTGTGTGAAGAGAGGTGTAGCCTAGTGAATATGCAAAAGCAGGCAGGCAGCTTGACTCTCTGACCGATGAAGTAGATCTCATTCGGGAAGGTCGTCTCTGGGTAATCTGAACAATCGTGCAGCCTCAGCTATGAGGCTTCAACCCGGCGATTATTGACACACTGCTCCTTCCCTGAGGACCTATCAGTGAGTTATTTGCAGCTGCCCCTTTTGAATATGAACTGCAGTCGACGCGCAGGTGTCCCTCCCGGCAACGGTATGGTTCGCCTCTACTACGTACATCATCTTTCCGCGTTACGTGCTCGTTACAATGCGATCATGATCTTTGTCGAAGTTGTGAGCGCCAAGATGCAGATAGCCTTGCTCTTCATAATGCTAATGCTAGAACCGTGTTTACGAAAATATCTGTCTATCCCGATGCGCAGTTTCGCTGGTACGATAGGTGGAATAGGACCAGTGGGATTGTAAAATTCTCATTTTGACTACATAAAAAAGGCCAACGCCAGAGGGCGTTGCAGTTATTAGAGAGAGCTCATACTCCCAAGGGTATCAATGGTATACAAGTGACAGGTAAAGCACATGCTTTAGTAGTAGATCTTCTCGTCCCAGATGGGAGGTCTGGCGCCCTCAGAATCCCAAACAAGCTTATTCTTCTCATCCAAAGAGCAACCCTCATCGGTGATGGGAATGATCTTATTCGTCTGCGCGATCTCATACTTCGAAACACCAGCAGCATCCTCAGGAATCCAAAGGAGAGGAGGCAGGCTCGAGACCGAAGGTGGGTAGTAGGCGTTATCCTGAATGTTGCCAGGGTACATCTCGTCAATCTGTGTGGGGTCGTGGGGGACGAGGTTACGAAGGTGCAGGTAGTCGGCAAATATCCACGGCTTGAGGAATCGTGTAACAATGTTGCCGCCCTTCTCGACAACGTTCTCGTCACCTCCGGGGGCGAACTTCTTGATGTTGGGAATCTTCTTCATGAAGCCGCTCGAATCACCGTTCTGTTCCTCAGAGACGCCTCTACCAGAATCCTTGCGGTCAATACCCTCAACGTCGGCGTTCAGTGACTCTTCCTCGACCTGGAGGGATCTGGGAAGAGTGTACAGCAGAGGGTCCAAAACACTGTTCAGGGTGAGGTGGAAGAGAATTGAGAAGATGAGGAAGATGATCATAAGGACGAGGGGTCCAAATGCCTTCGATACGGAAAACAGACCCACGAGGCAGATCTCTGCCAAGTAAACACCGGCAAAAAGCTGCTTGAGGGCGCGGGGGTACAACAGACCCTTAGTATCAATCTTGGTATCCGTAACAAACAGAATGTTGTAGCGGTAAGAAAGATAGAACAGGCCAATGCCGAGGGTGGAGAAGAACAGCATCAGAGGAGCGATGAGAGCGTAGGTGATGCCTAGGCGGAGTTAGCAAAAAATCCTGGATTGAGTGAAAGTGGCCACACTTACTGATGACGGCAATGGTTGTGTAGACAGGGAGCACGCTTCCCCACGAAATGGCCGCAAGGGTGGACCACTTATTGTACAGAGCTCTAGGCGTATTGGTGAGGAACTTCAGGATAGCCACGAAGATTGCAAACGCCACCACCTGGGTCAAAACACCGGTTGCGAGTGTGATACCCTGAAGGATGAAATAGCTGACGTAAAAGCTGGAGGACTTGGGAATCGCAGTGGACAGAGTGCTGAAGATGGAGCCGGGATTCTCAGAGACTGCCTGGATGGTCGCTACAGCAGACGAGGAGACAGTCGTGATAAGAAAGACCTGAATGAGCTGGAACCAGTAGTACGCGTTCTGGGTAAAGAGCTCAACGCGGGAGTTGGAAGGCTCGCCAGAGAGCTTAGCGCAAAGACGCATAATGACCGGCACCAATGACATGAGAACTGCCAGAGCAACACTGGGGAGAAGACCAGAAACGACACCCATGATGACATTGGGAATCTTGTCGAGCCATGTGAGGAAAGAAATCTTCTTGAGGTACGAAACCTGGGAGATGATACCGACCACGGTGACAGGAATCGCCCAGAAGATGATGAGTGCGCTGATGAAAGCAATGACGGCATAGCGACGGATAACGCGCTGCCACCAAGATACTCTGAGAGATTTCCAGATGACTTCGGTAGGCTGGATGCCGATGTACTTGGGCGTCATCTGAAGGGCTTGGTGGTGAGTGGTAACCTGGTAGGCGGCCTGGGCATCGGATTGGGTGTAGAACTCTGCGAATACGGCCGGAATCTTCTTGGCCTTTCCGGCGCGGTAATCGGCTTGAGCGGCATCGACGGCGGGGATAAGGCGCTGGAGCTCGGAACGGCACCATTCGATGGTATCAACCTTCTTTCCAACGAGACCCAGAAGACCAAGACGGTGAGTAGGGCGCTTCTTCTGGGGGATCCAACGAGCAGCGGCATCGGATGCGCCAGCCTCGGTGTCTTGAGCCGAGGGAGTCTTCTCAGGAGCACCGCCCTTCTTGGCAGCCTTGAGACGAGCGGCGTTTGCCAACTTGATGAGCTTCACCTGGGCCTTCTCGAGCTTCATGGCGACCTTGTCACGCTCCTCGACGAGATCGTCCAATTTCTCGGTGTCACCAGTGATCCAAACTCTCTTAATCGAATCGCTGAAAAGCTTCTTGAATTTGGCTTCGTCAAGGTACGCGTCGGGCACGGATACGAAGAGGACGGTGCGAGACGAGATGCGCTTAGAATATGTTGGCGAGAGCAGGAATGCCTGACGCAGGTTGATGTAGAAGATGCACTCGCGCATGATCATGTACATGACGAAGCCATAGAATAGCCAGCCAATGAGGGCATGTGCGTACAGGCGGTTGAGGCCAGAGGAGGATGCGACGTCGATGTTGCTGTAGGTTAAGATATCGAGCTCCTTGGCGCTACCTCCACCGGTGGCATTGACGGGGAAGAGGACTGGCCATGTCATGACAAGGCCGACCAGGCAGATGGTGGCGCAAATACGGAGGAATCGAAGAAAGAGGTAAGAATCGAGAGACTGATGCTTGAGAGCATAGACATCGGGGATCTTCCAAAAGTGACTGAACCAGTTGAACAAGCCATTGGGTAGACTTGGTGATCGCTCGCTGTGACAAAAGTTAGCATGTTAGGTTTGTGAAGATGGGGTACTCTCACGAACCTCTCACGCAAGCTGCCGAGATAAGTTCTCGGTGCATAAAATCGCCTTTGGCTGCGACGGAGGATCAAGAAGATGACGAGGTAAACGCCGGCAATGGGAGCGCAGACAGCTAGAGTACTGACGAGGCCAGAAATGGTGCTACCCGAGGTATCATCGAGAGCCTCGCCGCGGTTGCCCTGGCCATCTTCGGCACTGCCAAGACCCGACATGATGGCGTCTAGGCGTATTGAGACGCCTGGTGGTCGTTACGGTTGTTGGTTTTTGCGTGCCTGCTAGGACAAAGTTGAGTCGAAAGAGAAGAAGGGAGGTCGAATACGGTGGGGGTCCCTGGGGCCAAGTCGGGTATTAAACAGGGAAGGGTATCGAGGGTCGTGTGTCGTGGAGAGTCCTACCGAGAGACAGACGAAGGGCCGTGGACACTTGGAGTCTGGACGGTGGGCGGGAAGAGAAAAGAAGGTCTAGGGACAGGGGGTTCAAAAAGAAGCAGTGGAAGGGGGGACGGGTGGGGGATGATATGTGTGGTGCGCGTTGTTGGAAAACCGGGAGTTGGGAAATGAGACGATGGGTTCGTAGCTTGTCAGGATGCTGGGATGGGCCAGGCCGAGCGTCGATCAGTTACACAAGCGACAAGGTGCCCAGAGCTCTGAGGTAACTGATTGCGCGCTGGTGAGGTGAGGTAGTGCGGTGCGCTTGCGTGCGATGGTGCTTTGGTCTGGACTTGTTGGTGCGGCGTGCTGCTGCTTTGGATATTGGGAGCGAAGCTGCAAAGGGGGTAGGGACTTGGAGCCGTAGGAGAAGCAGAAGAAGCAAATAGTGACGTGACTGAGGTGAAGGGTTGGTGGTTTGGAGGAAATTGGGCGCGTCTCCCAATGTCTCAGTTCGTTGCGCTGAAAGGAGGTGACGCCACAAGACAGCACTAGGGGCAGTGTTAGTTTATCTTTTGTGCCCCCTTCTATTGCTCGTTGGTGCCGCTGTTGCTGTCACGACTGTTGCGCCAGCTTCAGTCGAGTCTAGTGGTAGCCAGAACGATGGGGATGGTGGAGGAGTACGGTTTCTGGGGATGAGAGCAGGAATTGTCGATCGAGCCGAGGGAGCTTACCTTTCGATGAAGCGATGAAGGGCTGCAAGGCAGGAGGTCGGGCACGACGCAATAACAGGCAGATCTTGGTGGAGTATGATGGACAGGTGGATGGAGTCGTGGGATAAAGTCTGTGGCAGGAAGGGGTCCACGAGTCGTAATGCCTCTTCTCTATCGAATGTCTGCAGAGAGTCTGATGTCTCTATCTAGACAGTCCAATCCGAATGCTTGAGATGAATAATACCCATGATCCGATGAGGGGTCCTCGTCGTCCCTTATTCTTATTTTCAAAGGGTTAGGCCTACTGTCTCCTCTCAAACAGGCCCTCACCGACTAGGAAGCACACACACAAGGTACCGACGAAGCGTGAGAGGGAGGCCACCGGGAGATTCAAATTGAGACCCCCAGTTCGGCGTGGCCTAGACCGGGTTGTCACCCATTCCACAGTGGTAGGTACTATGTAGCCCGCTGGGTGCACGACACACACCAGCTGAAGACAGCTCGGTTGGGCCCTCTTCCTGTCGGCTGTCCACAGTCAGCAACGAAGACCGACCAGGTAGTGCTTGTTCATGCAGTCGAGTAAAGTCTCACCTCACATGCAAAGATTGCTACCTCACCGGCTCATTGTGCTAGAGAGATCGTGTTGGTGGCGCGGGCAAGGGGAAACGAGGCGCGGAGGTGGTGTGTTCCAGGTTAAGCTGTCGGCAGAGCCACCGTGCCAATCGATACTGGACGTGCCGCAGGGTTGGAATAGCTAGCAGAATGCCAGCCAATGCCAACTATGACGCAGACACGCAGTGCCAATCCAACTCGACAAGCCCGTGCAAATGCATTGTTCTCACGCTCACTGCTCAGTGTGTGCAGGGAAAGAGGTACCTAGTAAGTGTGGTAAGAAAACATGGGAGCCCCTTCATCCAGACAGGGGCTAGCTCAATGTGAATGTGCATTTGGGGGGCAGGAAGAGGTTGACTCTTTCCTGCAAACTTGCATCTTCCCAAATTCTACCCCCACTTTTAGATACCTATCTGAGGTAACTGGCAACTACTACGTACACTAGTGTAGGTAAGAGGGAAAGTTCGACATGGAAAGTTGGATCCCCTGGCAACTTCCTGGTGTCGATGCGCCTGCCATCCTGGGAACGGCAGCGCACCTACCATATGGTGGGTTCCTTTACAGTGTATCGTCGATTCCTGGCCACTCGAGGTGAAGTGGGTCGGCTGAACACTGCATGCGACGCTTCTTGATTGGCTGCCGTGTTTCTAACTGGAAACCTCCTTCAGGACTCAACGCTGCCGTTGCCGGTTTGTGGGCACTGTCGAATACTTTTTTGTGATTCATTTTTTGATTAAAACTTTTTGCTTTTTTCTTTTCTAGAGCTAACAGGTAGTATTCTGCCCACTTCGAGGAAGGTTTGTCGGTCCAGATTGCCGTCTAGTGACTCCAGTCTACGACTTACGAACCTACTTCGTACACAGTTTGTGGTCTTGGCTCCCTCTCGTCTGCACCTTCTGGTGACCATCAGAGGCTCAGACATCTCCATGGTCCGTTCATACTGATGCTGACGCACCCAAACATTCGTCGCTTGTCTTGGGATGCGTTCATCTCTTCGACAGTGGCATGGTCTTCACTCTAATTCTCACAAGTCGCATTTCCTTCTTCCTCTTCCTCTTCTCTACCGGGCTGCCCTGATTCCCGCGGTTCACTACCCGGAAACACCGTGGTCCACCAGCCCTGCCACCCGCCGGCAGCGTTGCAGCCAACAAACAACACCCCCGGCAGTCACCCAAAATGCGCTGGCTGAGATTCCCGGTTTTCACCACTTAAAATCTGGTCTTTTATCCTTCCCGCTGCAGGGCTCGTCGCAGTTTTGCAGGGTCTCCGGTCAATCACTGCGGGCGGTGCCACATCAAACTCCATCAAACTGGCCTTCAGACGGCCAACTCTTTGATCAGTTCAACCTCCATCCTATGATCCTTCACGGCATCGTCCCCGACCACCGGCCAATTTTGCCTCGAAAGTTCTTGGCCCTTTCCAACGTTCGAAGCCTTTTCCCCCGAGACACGGCGACCGGCGCGAGTAACGGCAGCCACCCGGCACCAAAACTACCGAGTGACATCAACTTGCTTGGCTTGGCTTCTTCGGCCAAGTGAGCGACGTACCAGAAAATACCCCAATTTCACCTGCCCACTGACGCAATCCCCTCGTGATTGTCCATGCTATCGACAAGCTACGCACAATCCAGCATCCACTTCCGCGCGGCTCTTGCGCATCCCGTTCGAAAACGTCGGTAACATGACATCCCTCAAGATACCCCAGAAAAGACGGTTTACACACCGGCCGGCTGGGCAGCCTTCGTAGGCGTCATCGAAAATGCCATGCTCGTATGGACATGGAAATTTGCGCACCTCCAAATCGCTATAGCCCTGGGACCAACGCACTGGTGGTCTTGGAAGCTGGAGCATCGAGACGAAGGATGGATGATGGGATCTGTGCCACTTACGATCTCCCGAGTCTCGACGAATGCTGCCAATTTACTGCTCTGGAACGCTTCGCTGGGTGTCCACACATGTTTTCTACCCTAGCGCCGATGGTCACCCAGCCCAACCCACTTCCGGAGACCCTATCAACCTGCATCGGCGCTACTCTACCAGAAAATCTCAAATCCTCCACAATTTGACACCCGTCCCATGCTACCATTGACAAACCATCTCCTCCAGGATCCCTGCTCGGCTGACGAAAGAAATTGTGTCTCCGGGAGAAACGCCTACGGTGGACTAGCGACCAGCCGAGCCCATGGCCAGTGAGCCACGAGAGACAAAGCCGCGCCGCCTGAAAATCGAGACAAACCACCAGCCACTGTTGCTATTGTCTATACTTTGTGCGACATTTGACGACGGTAGCCGCCCGTGGCCCTCTGAACACGGCCTACTGCCGGTTACACCGCTTCGACGCATCTTTATGTGTTTCCAGCGTGTCGCGTCAAACGACTGAGGACGCGCATTCTGGAATGACACGGCGTCGATGACAGGTAGGCAATGTCACCAACAATGCGGCATCGTCCTTAGCCGAAAGAGTGACCAGCCCGATCAGGGCAATCTGCAGTCCTCAGCATCATCTGCATATTTACAACTCATCAGCCTGCACAGCTGGATATTGCTGCACCTCTTGCAGATTCGCAGTCTTGTGCTTCCCACGTGCGCACCCGCAAGCTGACCGGCCGCATTTCGACCGGCCCAGGCCCCCATACCGCACTCGACCCCTTCATCAAACATCCCGGACGACTTCGCCTCAATTCCGGACCTCTCCGTTGAGAAATGAGAAACGCGAATCTAGGCGGTCGTTCTAAACTCTATTTGAAAGCTCCGTTCGGGACTACGCCCGGTAAACAACCATCGGCGGTACTGCTAAGCAGCAGTAAAGCACACTTGCCGACGACCGAAAGAGACGGACTTCAGCCTGGTTTTAAATAGAATCATGACCACGCTTAGAGCCGGTTCAGCTAGTGCCGCCTGAGCGAAGCTATTCAGAGGCTGTGGACTTCACAAGGCTTCACAGTCCCGATCCCATCAACCCTTCCAGAGATGCGGTCTGGTCTGAGTGATACTTTCCCAGACAGCTGAAGCCAGAGACCATCTCTCTCTAGAGCAGAAGCATATGCCCTGCCGCTGAATCATATGCTTGTGCCCATGGGTACCGACAGCGGGCATCGCGATCTGCAAATCTCAAGACGATGAGCACATTGCTTCAAGTTCTCATTGTCTAGATGTTGTTGCCTAGGGTTTCGCCGAAGTCGGCCAAAGCTTCATGGTTCACCATCCCAATTCTTATTGCTCTTCGTTGCTCAGACTCTGACAAAGGATGCCGTACTCTCCTAGCATGGAGGAGGATAATGGCTTCCGTCTTAGACAAAACATCATCTCCATGCTCCAACAATGAATGAAAGTCGCATTCATGTGCCAAAAATGCGAGCTGTCATTGTTCCCAACTTAGAATCATCGTCAATATCATGCTCGTCTATTGTTTGTCTGGTCACTGTTGAGCTTGACATCGCAGACCTTGCCATGTAGTCTTTGATCTAAAGTTTCCATCAGGTGCCATCACCAAGGAATGCTCATCCCTTTAAATCGACAGCGTTGATAAACACGTCTTGCCTCAAAGATGGCCATTACCAGCATCGTCATGCTGTTCAACCATTCATCTCACCAGCTGGCTTACCTCTTCCGCACTAGAATTTCCCTGAGAATTACGCTAAACCAGACTTTTCATCATGTCTTCCAGAACGCCCCCTCCACCCCCTCAAGCTCGCATCCCAAAGACACCATATGCCGACGCCTACCAGTCCCGCTACATCGAGGAGGTTCTCTGCCTAGGTGGTGGTAATGAAGACGCTCCACACGCTGAATACGCCAACTGGGATGCCAGCCTCCTGCGTCACGTCAACTGCGGGTATCTCTCAACAAATGGACATGCGCCTACACTGCTCGCCCTCAAGCAACACGCGCAAGCGCTGACCATCCTGATTGCCCAGCTTGCGCCGACGACTCAGTACGCCGAAGTTGACAATGAAACCAACAACAACCAGGGCCGCATCCAGAAGTCGTTTAGAGACAACGAGGCCTTTGACTGGCTCAATAACTTGCAGCTTCCCTATGAGAACGACGATGAGTGGCACAACAAGCCCCTGACTGATCTCATGAACAGAATCCAGCACGAGTCGGATACCCAGGGCACCGTTCACCACTGCCCCCTCCAGGAATACAACGAAGACAAGGGCAAGAGAACCAAACCTCGCCCTTACGCCACGCATACTGCTCTAGCACACCACGCAAACGAGTGTCTCGAGATGCTGGACCACGAGTACAGCGCCACGGGCGGCCTCCTGTCCCTCCTCCCCACCGACGAAGCCCTCGACAAGGAAGAGATGGCCGCCGTCCGCAACAGCCTCCTCGGCCAATGGCTCCTCTACACCCAGCACCTCGTGGCGCGCATGCACGACCTCGAGCTGGGCTACGCCAACGCGCTCGACGTTACGGCGGGCGAGGCCGCCGTGCCGATGCAGATGCTTTCGAGGATGGGCCCCGACGCCTCCTCGGGCCGCGAGATGGCGTATCCGCAGGATAAATGGATCCTCGCCAACGCGGGCGACGACGTTTTTGACTTCTTGCATCGCGTGTTGGACAGGCAGGAGGCGCAGATTGAGCAGAAGAGGGAGATTTGGACGGCCAACGGGACGTATGGCGAGCGTATGTGGAACGAGACACGCGGCGGGGATCTCTATGCGCGCGGACTCGTCTTTTACGACGTCAAGACGAGGTATTATAGGCTTGCTGGGAAGGGGAAGAGTACCATCTTCATCCTGCCCGCGCACGGGGAGCACCCTGCCGTGCAGCAGACGAGGCGATTAGAGTTGACGCCGACGGTGGTGTCTGTTGTGACGCCGACGTGGCCTGCGCGGGTGTCGGATTGGGAGAGCAAGTACAAGAGTCAGCTGGACGAGGCGACGCGGATGGAGATTCAGAATCACGGGTTGACGAGTGTGGGGGCGGCGATGAAGGAGCATAATGAGACGTTGGCGACGGAGTTGGACAAGGCTAGATTTATGAATGAGCAATTTGAGAGGTATTATGGACGGGCGGAGGTAGCGGAGGGGCCGAGGCATTTAGAGAGGGCGGTGTCGATGTTGTTGAGGGATTTGAAGGAGAAGGAGGATGAGTTGAAGGGGTTTGTGATGATGGCTAGGGAGGTGAGGGATAAGTTGCCGAATCAGTATGGTGTGTTGTTTGATGGTATGGTGGATGATGAGGATGAGGGTGTTGGTGCTGAGGCGGCTGGTGAGACGGCTAAGTAGCATGAGGTTGAGGGAAGCGTGGATGGCAGACTGTGTAGATGAATGCAGGTACGGGGTTGCACGGGTGCGAACTTTGATAGATTGTGTTTCTCTGGTCCACGGGCTGTGATGCAGAGGTGAGGTGGCTTATTTGATGATGGTGTTACCCAGATGACAAGTCAGTCCAGCAGTTGGTACCTGTATGACTGATAACCTGTCTTATCACTGCCTTACCTCGTGTTTCATTTATCCCATATTCACCAAAGGTGGTTGGTTGAACCAGCTCATAATCTGAGGATATCTCTTTAAATGATCAGTTTTTGATATAGTCACATTCAGTATCTCATCTGGAGAATGTTCCTTGAAGAATTAGCCAAGAAGAGGAACAGTTGTAATGGTCGGAGTATTCGTAAGGTAGCAGAAAAAGAGTTCCAGGATGTATTCGGTAGATCATTTTGCGATCCACTTGGACGTCTACCTCAGGTGACGCGGAGTTAGGACCAAGATGTTAAAGTCGCGCAGCTTGGAGGTTGGAGGTTGGACGGAGATGTCTTCTGTTTCCGCGGTGGTGTAGCTTCAAATGCTAGGTAGTTAGCCTGGTTGATGAGGCAATATAAGACGAATTGGCGTACGTAAGGGGACCCTTGCATGATTCATACAACCACTTTCCTCGCATTGTCACGTTGAACATGTGATTCCTGGAGGTGTCCCATCCGGACTCGGAGTTGTATCATTGGGTATGCTGGAAGTAACAATAGTTCCACCGAGCATCAAGGAAAAGGATTGAAACACACTCGAGAGATAGAACCGTCGGTCGTTCGCGAATCACCGGTGGCCCCCGTCGAACAAAGAACGGCAGCAAGGATGCACAACTCATCTAATCCCAGTTAGGGATGGCGCACATCAGTCAGCAGGGGTCCACTCTAGCCGAGACCCTCCGTTTAGTGGGGCGTTGCCCCGGACGACGGCCTGACAGTCGCGCAGCCGCCGCCAAAATAAACCCTCCCCAAGCTTGGAAACACTCACTCATGCACCAAAGGCACCAAAGCACTTCCAACTTGCAGGCAACCCTTGACCGGTCCAGCGTCCTCGATCGGGGCCGACCTGCCCGCGGGTTCCTCATGATGCCATACTGCGGACACTAATTGGCCCATCTCCCTATCGTCCATCGGTGCTAAGCCTGCGGCGCAGATTGAAGACTTGGTTCTAGGCTTTCTAGCCAACCCCTCTTTTCCCGCTCATCCTGGGGGATTTCCAAGTGTTCCCAAGTGCGCGGCCCTTTGATAGACGTTCGGATCTTGTGGGCGCTGGTTCACACGGCTCTCTCTGCCCTTTCAGTCTGTCGTTTCCCTCCCACCGGTGCCAGTCAACCGCCGCAGCGCGCCGCCAAAACGACCCCTCCTCCGTTGCCCCCCTGCACATCGAAACCGTTCGATTTGTTGACATCCTGCTTTTTTTCCTACTGTGTCTCTGTCCTCAGTCCTCCCTACCTTACAGAAACCAAACAACCCTTGTCCAAAACCCCCCATCTGCACACCTTGCATCCAGGCCACACCCCAACCCCTCGATTTGCTCGTCATCCAGATTAATTCCCATCGCCCTTGTCCGGGGTTGCTCGCCTTTCTCCATCTCTGATCATCCTGACCACAGCTCTGGCCTCCTCTTTCCCGCATGTCCCGTGCTTTTCCTTCTCTGATTCTTTTCCCGCCTATCACTTTTTTTTGTGTGTGTTTGTCGACGTACTCCTCAAGTCCCTTTTTCAGACCCGGCTAGCTAGTTGAGAGACAGAGAGTCGAAGCGAGAAGGAGTGACGAAGGAAGAAAGAAGAAAAGAGGGAATGCTAGTCTACTGAGGGAAGCATCCGTTCTAGAACTTGGACTCTTTCCCCGTCTTCACATTACACCAACACCGGAAAGACAACGACGGTCGACTAGAGTGCGCAGTAGAGAGGGGCAAAGAACATGAATTGACCACCGCTCAGCGGTTGGCGCATACGATTACACAAAAACCGGACCGCAAACGACAACTTTCTACGGAACGATCATGACCGCGACGGCCGGCCGGTTGACCTCGTCGAGGGCCGAAGCAGCTATCCGCAAGACGACGACAACCTTTGCCGCCGCGGCGCTGCTCTTCACTTCCCTGGTCTCGGCGCAACAGACGTTTCCTTACGCTCCGACGACAATCTTGCTCTCCTCCTCCCTGCCGGGATCGCCAGGCAACAGTAGCAACCATGGCATGGCATACATCTTTCACCAGGGTAGTTCCGGCGTCGAGCTGCTGTCCGTAAACGCCTCGGCCACCGTCGACGGCGCCGCGAGCCTGCAGACCATATCGACAAGCTTGCCATTCCTCGACGATGCGACCAAGACAACGGCTTTCCTCCCCACGATGGCGGACAATGGGACTATTGTGGTTCAGGCGGGGGATTGCATGACGTCGGAAGGTTACGACATCTGGACATATACCCCAGGAGGGTCTTTGACCACTTCGGGATCCTGGTTCAAGACTCCGGCGACATTACCAAGCAGTGCGGACTCTGACGCAGGTCCATATGCTCTCGGCGCAGGCATCAGCTTCTCGTCGACCCTCGCGCCGACCATGTCTGAGCCCTTGTTGTACTCATTCGGCGGCATGTGCCTAGCATCGACGACGGACGAATCTACGTGGCAAGGGAACGGGACATACACGAAAGCCATGTTGAGAGTGGCTCCTTCAGACTCTGTAGCTTCGGGATACTCCGCCAGCTTCATCTCCGGCAAGGGTCCAGCCTACGCTGAGGCCGGCTTCTCGTTCACGCCCCTGAGCCCTTCGATTTCAAACCGGTCCGGAATCGTCACGCAGCAGAACCGCTATGTCTTACTCGGCGGTCACACTCAGCAGGCCTTTATCAACATGAGCTCCGCCGCCATCTGGAACCTGCCAGAAGAGTCGTGGAACTTTGCGACTGTCAGCGCTACGCGCGTCGGAAGCAGCGAGCTAGCGGTCAAGGACATCGAGAAGCGCGCGGGTGCGGAAGTCGAGAGCCGGTCTGGGCACACGGCGGTGCTGAACGAAGACGGCACCGCGCTCATTATCCTGGGCGGCTGGGTTGGCAGTGTATCTCAGGCTGCCTCTCCGCAACTTGCACTTCTCAAGATGGGTGATACATACGGAGACTGGACGTGGTCGATTCCATCCCAACAACCAGATGGTGGGATTTATGGCCATGGAGCAGCGATTTTGCCTGGCAATGTGATGATGGTTTACGGAGGATACGAAATTACGACTTCAGGATCCAAGACGAAGAGGCAGTCGAGTGGGACCGGGCTCAGGTTTCTGAACATGACTTCCATGGCGTGGACTTCGAGCTATACGAACCCAAATCACGCGGCCTCGTCTACTGGGTCCGATAGTTCCACTGGAAACGACAATATCAAGAAGATTGGACTCGGTGTAGGCCTCGGCGTTGGGCTTGCTGCTATCCTTGGCGCGTTCTTGGTTTACTTTTGTTACAAGAGACATCTGAGGAAGAAGAAGGAGATGAGAGAAGAGACTGTGCGCTCCCTTGCGCAGGATGCGACGCGGTTCCTGCATCCGGACGACGACATGATGGAGCGGGATGGCGGATCGGCGTACCCCTGGACGAGCCATTCTTGGTACACGGGCGGTCACGACCCCTACGAGACGATCGACAGATCGCTCGGCTACGAATCGCTCAGGACAGGCCATGGTCCGGGCAACAATCAAGGTGTATATCAACAGCAACCCGGCCTCCTCATCCCCCGCAAACCCATACCTCGCGCGGCAAGAGGCGCATACCAACCAGCGGCGAACCTCACTACTCCGGGCCATATCCACCCGATTTACGAAGCAGACGAAGATGATCCTGAACATGCCAACCGAAGAAAAGACCAGGAGCCTGCGACGCCCACTACGCCGGGGCACGCCGACCCGTTCATGACGCCGACGGCTTCCGTCCCAATATTAACACCGGGCAACCGCAATTCCATGACGCCCAGTCCGGAGGCTCTACTGCGGCGCAACACAGAGGTGCAAGACTGGCAGTCGGACATTGACGCCACCGAAGCCCTCCTAGCTCGCATGCCCTCGCGCCGCAACAGCCGCGTCTCCCCGACACGGCGCGCGTCGATGCGTTCGGCTCGCTCCATGGCGGATGACGAGCGGACGGCCAGCAACGTCTCGGAGTCGGCGCGGAGCGCCATCAGCGTGCCCACGCGCTCAGCGTCTGCGAGACGAAATAGTACCGGGCCGAATAACCTTACCATCATCACCGATAACCGGGTGGGCACCTCGTCGTCATCAAGCAGTAGCGGGCACACATACTCCACCGCCAAAACCACATTCAACGCCTTACAAGCTGAGGGTCCCTCGCTGCTCCTCCAGGGCCAGCGGCCACGCAACGACCACGATGATGACGAGGAGGACTTTGTGCACATCCCAAGCAGTCCCAGCAAGCACAAGCCGCGCCGATCACTCGGCTGGCTCGGCAGTCTCCGGCGCGTCTTCAGCAGCGGCGTCAACAACAACTCGTCAGATTCAAGTGACCACGAGAGCCCGCGGCGTCTATCCCTCGACCAAGTCAGCTCGGACTACGAGCCGAGGCTGGTCGGATTATCCGGCATCGGGGGCGCCGAGCTCCTGCGCAGGAAGCAGGGCCGGCACGACTGGGATATCGATCAGAAGTCGTTGGATGAGTGGGATATCGAAAAGGCGATTGAGCAGCGGCTGGTGCAGGTCATGTTTACTGTGCCCAAGGAGAGGTTAAGAGTCGTAAACGCCGAGATTGAGAAGGAGGAGGAGGCGATTCTTGTGGATCCGGATAAGGATGAGATGGAAGGATTGGACGGGTCCCATGCGGATTTGGAGAAGAGGGCGCTGGAGGAGGAGTATAGGGATAAAGGCAAGGGCAAGGAAATCGCCCTCGATGACGAAGATCTGGAGTCCCACAGAGGGATGTATGCGCGGAGACCCGAGTCGCCGAGTACGGGGTCGCCGGTCCGCGGACGGAGGTTACTACACCTTCCCCCGCCAAAGGATGAAGCCGGAGGAGGCGTGGGCAGCCACGACCATGACCACGACCACGACCGTCCGCTGCCGAGCCGGGAAGACTCGGCGGAGCCCCGGCCGTCGCTGACGCTGCGCACGGCAGAGGTCGTGAGCGTAGCGAGGCCGCGGACGAGGGTGCTTAAGATGGTGGAGAGCTTTGAGTCACGGAGCAGGGAGACCAGTCCGTCGCTCGGCTAGAGGCCGGGTGATCACCAGGGACGTGGTGATTCTTCCCTGTTTGACTCGTTTTCTGCCGTCGGACCCATGTCACCATGACATTCTGGAGTTTAAATCGAGGCGTTTGAGTTTTTTGCTAGGTAGCAACCGTCGTTCGTTTCAGAGCAGGAGCCATTGGGCTTTATGTTCTGTGTGTATGTGAAATGGGATGGGGACAGGGCTGCTGCAGTGTATACATGGAATACTTGGGAGTCATTAACTGGGACAATGGGGGGTTTTTTCTTCCCCCTTTTTTTTTTTTTTGGCCCGTTCGGCGTGACGGAACAAATCATGGGCAACTTTTGGAGGCGAGGCAAATTTATGTATCTTGTGTTAGTTTACAATAGCGAATTTGACAGCGTACTATCCTGTCGCTTCTGTCTTGATACAAAAACCTGAATCGACTTGCCATCTTGAGTATGAGCCACGTGTGACTTGACCTCTTCTCGGTAAAGGGAGTACGGCAATCACCTAACATGAGTAATGAGACAAATCACAGCAGCAACAGTCCAAGCAAACATTCATAGTGTTGAAAACACTCAAAACGAATTTACATACGTATGTGTTCATTCCCACCCAGCTAAATGATGTGGTATCTCGTAAAGAAAAACAAAAAAAACGCCGATTTTTTCCTATGCATTGTCCACGCCTGAAGTCCCCAAAAGCCAAACTAACCCTCAAACCTCATAGTCATGAAAGGGGGTGTTCAGCAGTTCTCTTGACTGCTGGTAATTTTCCAACATGTAACCTCTCGTCATCCGCGGTTTTTGTTCAAAGAAAATCTTATGTACATGGCTGAGCCTAAAAGGCCTGGCCAGGCCCCGGTTGCTGCTCGTGCGTTTGGTTGTTATACGCGGTATTGGCATGCGGTTGTTGTTGATTGCCAAATGCCTGGGGCTGGTATGCTTGTTGCTGGTACGCCTGTTGCTGGAGGGCTGGATGTCCGTAGGCGCCGTTCATCGGCGATCCAAGGACGGGACTCTCCGGCATGATGGAGGCGGCTGCTGGGCTTTGTGGTGGTCCCCAGAGCGCTTCTCCCACTCTTTGCTGCGTCAAGTCGCGCGGACCTGCAACGCCTAGGTTTGCTGGTGCCGCCGGCCCCGTCCTCCCCCACTCGCCATTGCTGGGCCCTGAATGTGCCGGATGCACTGGTGCCATGCCTGCCTGCTGCTGAAAGCTCTGATCCTGGTACGGCGAGATCGGGGACATGGGCGACAACGGGACATCCGGACGCGCGGGGCGGCGTGGCGGAGACATCTGCGAGGGGTTCGGTTGGGCGTGGGCTATGAGGCTGTCACTCTCGTTGCCGGGGCGTTGGGGTCGGGGAGGTGGTCTCGATGGCTGCAGGTATGTGCTGCGGCGGAATTCGGTAGCGATCGGAAGATGGTCGGTGCTCTTGATACCGGCGGGGTGATACGCGGTGTCTCCGCCCTTGTCGAGGTCGTCCATATCGAGGCTTGCTGCGGTCTTGTAGCTGGGATCCTCGTGGCGGCGCTTAACGCCGCAGAGAAGCCAGCGCATACCACGTCCAAAGGCCTTGACGAAGTCCCACAGGTTGAGGGCGTCTCCCACAGCCTTGAGGCCCATCCATCCGCCAGCCGGTGCCGTGTGCACGTTTTCGCGGAGGGGAGCGTTGCTGTCTCGGGAGTCGGCGGACGGGTAGTACGTGGTCTTGGCCCCTGGGACGTAAGGGGCGTAGGGGAAGGCCCACAGATGAAGAAGGGCGAACAGTGCCATCTCGAAACACAGAAGAAGGGCAGGGATGCCGACTTTGATGTCCGGGTAGGCGAGGACTTCGTTCGGGTGGACAAGGTCGAGCGTAGATGTGGCGAGGGAAATGCAGGTGACCTGCCAGAAAGAGAAGAAGACTACAAGCTTAATAGCAAGGACCTTGAGGAAGGGTGAGTGTTCCTTGAGAGGTTCTCTCATCTGAACGTAAAACTGAATGACGGAGTACATGGCAATGGTGACCGCTACACAGTTGATCGAGATGACCTGTTTCTGTTAGTGAAGGCTTCCAAATGGGTCAGGGGCAAAACAAGCTTACCCAGATATGAGCAAATACGGGGTTATTTGAACTCTCGCAGTAGCGGTGGAAATATTGCGTGACGACGGCCGTGACAGTCATGGCGACGCGGATAAAGACGTAGTGGTAGACACCGATCCAGATGACATTGAACCAGGTCAAGCCGCTCTTGGGCGTGCGCCAGGGTCCCCTTTCTCCTCCGCAGCACTTTGCAAACCAGTCAAGGGGCCAGACCCAAGGCTTGATGGGGTAGAGATTGCGGAAGTAGTCCTTCTGGGTGTGGACATCTGGAGCGAGGTAGTGACACATGAGCGAGAAAAAGGATGCGATGGCAAAAGCTTCATAGCAGTCGCTCATGAGCTGAAAGTACACCGCGTGCCAGTAGTACCAAAGTTGAAGAAAGGAGGAAGCGGCGTAGACGGGGACCATGAACAGGATACGGATGATCTGACGCTGCTCGCGGGGCTTGGTGTAGTTGATGGAGTGCATGAAGACGAGGTAGAAGGAGAGGCATATTGCGATGATGGTGCAGGAGCCGGCGATGATGAGGGCGAGGTCGTGAAAGGTCAGGGGACCAGCGATGAGGATCTCGGAGCCGGGGAGGACTTGAGAGAGAGGAAGGTCTGTTAGCTTTCTTGCACGTTGATGTCTCACAAAACTTGAGTTGGGGGTTTTCAGGGTCGAGTGACATACTCCTCAGCTCCTCGAGCGTTGAATTACACGTTAGATTCATGGTGACGACAGCTCAGCGCCGTTCTGAGGGTGACCTCCGGCGTACGGGGGTTGGTGTACGGGACGGAAGGCCCGGTGAGTATAGCAGCGCGGTGTCAAAAGACTACAAGCAGCGTGGAACGGAGTAGACGATGACGATGTCGGTGTGGATGAAGGGCGGTGGGTTGGGGTTTAACGGTTGTGCCAAGACTGGTGTGCTGCAGGAACAGAGCGGGTGCCGGTCTTGGCAGAGCTTGGTCGCCTCGTGGCTCTGGACTGCGTTCGGGCGGGTCGCGTGGTCGCAACGGGCTCGCGAAATAAGAGGAAACGTCGGTTTTCGAATTAAGACTGACGGAGTCGTATTCCGGGATGGCTTCCTCGTTATAATTCTACCGGCTCAAGTGACCTTCTCCCTTCAATTCGCGCCGTGTCTCTCCCTCTCTGATGAGTATGTGGTTGTGTGTTTCTGTGGGTGCCAGAGGATCGTGGTCGACTGGTTCGAAGGGGATGTCTTTCCCCAGTTCGTGCCCAGTAATGTAGTCGCACGTCGATCCTCCTCTTGTAAGATTCCACAAAAAAATTAACTGTCCGTCGCGCAATTATAGCTGGGGATTTCTCCTCTTGGTCGTTGTTCGGGGTTCGGGGTATCGTTTCGGTCTTCGTTATCGGAGTGACGTTGAATTAAATACAGGCGGATACGAAGAAGGTAGTTCGGTCAATCGATGGAGGAGATGCCCACGGCCAAGAAGCAAAAAAGAATAAGGTAGAATCAGAAGAGTAGACGCGCACCAAGGAGAACGGCCGTTGTGGTGAAGGGTTGGGAAGGAGGGAAGAAGAGTGACGAAAGCGCAAACTTGGAGGAGGGGAGGCACTTGGGGGAAATTGGCGAGAGACATACAGCCGTCAGGAGGTAAGCACCACACAGAGAGTCACTTCTTTCCTGCAGCTTTGGTAACTTGGGTGCTTGGTAGGGGACCAGGGGTAAGGTATTCGTAGGGGCGGGCACATTACCTAAGGCAAAGGAGTCCGGGGACCGTTTGCCAAGTGGCTGTGCCAAGGGTCGAACGGAGCGGACGCGCTAAGATTACAGGGCCGCTGACGACGGCGGCATCCAGTCAGCAGCGAGATCCCTCCCTCCTCCGGGACAACACAGCGCCGCCCCTTCAGGGGTTCTCCCTTCACATGGCCCTTTCATCTCGACTTTTTCGGGGCCTTTGGGCTGCTCAGCCGTACGGAGTACCAAGCACACATAGCTGTGGCGGCGTGGACAGCATCACTGTTCAAATCACCAGAGCAACTTCATCCACCAACATCGGATGCTTCAATGCAAAGAGCGTCACCGCCTCATTGCGCCCAGTGCCGGTTACCGAAGGCATCTATTTGCAGCATCATATGCCTTCCTTGCCTTAGCTACCTTACCTACTACTCATCTACGCCACACACACCTCCCAACATTGTGAAATCAACATCTTCTCGACACTCGAGAGTGCGTCGTATGGGCAAATGTGAACGCGTCACTCGTACGGGGCAATCTCATTACCATCTCTTATTTCAATCTTTTTTTCTCCGTACTGCGTCGAGCTATGAACAGGGATCCAACGCCAAACACCTGGGCTACCTCCGCCCCCTTCCCTGGCACCCCTTCCTCAAATCTTGTCCCTCCCGCGCGGCGTTTTAGAATTCGGAAACGAAGGAGAGCAGATAAAAAAAATTCGATCTCTACCTGCAGAGTACAGAGTACCTATTTACAACCTTCGAAGGCTTGAACGAATAGCACAGTAAAAGCACTCTCATCCGCTGTAAAATCCCCGACGCGACCACCGCGGATGTGCAGCGGGTGCGCACGCACAGCGGCACGATGGATTCGCCCGCCATGCACTGAAGCAGGGACTCGACCTCGATCAACCTCGAGCGCACTCGATCAACGTCATTCTTTTCGTCCGAGCAATTCTCATATCGCATGCACAGCAAAACTCTCTCTCCTCGCGCCAGCGGCAGATCAAACACACGGCCCATCGCAATGAGACGAACACCGGACGGACTGACAGATGCGACGTCACAGGCCTCCCAAAGAACGGGGGAAACCCGATGCAGGAACAAAATCGAGGGAGAACGGAAAGCACGTTCACATTTTCCGCTACCTATCCATACAGGCTACGGATAACTAGTATCGCGATTCTGCCTCACTCATATTAATTACCGCGGCTCCGGGACCACGACGACGACGAAGCAGAAAAAAGTCAAT